GCTCGAAAAGACCAACGGGTTCCGTGATTGATCTTACGTGCTCGAAGTGCCCCTTCCCCACGGTCTCCAGCATCTTCAGGAGCCCCGTGCTTGAGAACCACAGCAACCAGAGAAGCCACTCCCTCACATCCTGCCACAGCAAGCAATCACGGGACCCCCATTTGCAATTACATACATATGGGAAAATGGGGGTTCTTAAAAAAATGCAGCTTGTCTTAAGAGGAAAACATCAAATTGATGAAAACATCAAATTGGAGAGTGAAGTGTTGAGTACACCAAACACAACGCGAGGTTAAACGCTGCCGGCAGTGCGTTTCCCTTTCTCGTTCGAGAGGATGGTGTTGGTGGGGATAGATACGTACGGAAAAAATGAGACCTATCCTTCAAAAAAGAGTTTCAAGATTAATGGTTGGCATGGACCCCATTTGCAACTACATTAAATACGGGGGAAATATGAGACCTGTTCTTCAAACAAGAGTTTCAACACTATGGTTGGGATGGGAGTCCCAACTGATATCATCGTTGAAATCAGCAACACGACTCAGACATGAAGCAGAGACAGAGAGCGACACACTAAAAAAAATGAAGCAACAATCAAGCGTTGGAACACTACACACCCACCTCGGGGGCGAGGACCACGTTCACGAACAGAAACGAGCTCCAGACCTTCCCCAGTACCGCAGCCGTGGCCCGAGCCCGCTCCACTGGCTTAAGTTTGCCGCAGCAAAGGCGGACCAGAGCCCCCTGCACGATCCAAAGGAACACGAGCCAGGTGTAGCTAAAGAGAACGAAGCCCCACCGCCAGCCGAAGGTCTCGATCACCTTGGACAGGCAGTGTTCGGGCCGGGTGTCCGGATCTCCGGATAGATACGCAGTGCACGCGCCCACCACGTGATCTCTCTATTCCGGGGGGTGACGTGTGTTCAGAGAGGTTTGGAGGGGGGAGGGGGGGAACAGATGTAGGCAGAAGAAAGCCGGGGGAGACGTGTGTTCAGCAAGGGAGACAGAGGAGAGAAAGAAGATTCGGAAGAGGTTCGGGTTAGGGCTTGGAAGAGGCAACACAACTCAATACAGTGAGTAAGCCACGGATAGCAATAAGATTGTTTTTAGTAGAGGGTACAGGGTGGGGTTAGGGTAACAGTAAGGGTACGAACCCCCCCCTCTCTATTTCAAAGGTTGATCTCGCGAAGGCGGTCCTGCTCATATTATGGAGATGAAGAATTGAGGTGATCCGAACTGGGGGTGTACCTTGAAGATCGACCGCCTCGCCCAGACCCTCGCGAGGGCATTGTCAAAAGGGTTAGCATCAACTTGGAGTAGTAAAACAGGGAGAAATTACAGCAACCCCCGTACGGGCACCATGCTTACGTGTCGCTTTGACTGTAAACGTGGCGCCGTTGACGGCAAGGTCAAGAAAAATGACGGGGAGGGCGTGCAGAACGCAACAACAGCACCCTGAACACATCCTCCTCATCACCTCCTCGACAATGTAGATCAAATGGCGTCACGTTTACAACGGGAGTGACAACCATCCATGGTCCCCTTAGGGGGTACTGCTGTTGTTCCTCTTTTCCGTGTCCGGGTTGATGCTTACCCTTCGCAATGCCCGCGCGAGGGTCGAGGCGAGGCTACCTTCCCTGAGCGATCGGGGCTCTGGCCTTTTAGTGCCGCGGGCCTGACTCTATTCCAGCCGGCCTGTCAAACCGGATGCCGCCGGCCTCCGTTGGAGGGCTTCTTTCTCCTTGTTCGCTGGGGCGGGACGTTCTGCTGCTGCTGCTGCTGCCGCCCGCTTCGTGGTAGGTCTTGATACAACCTTTCACGGCTACGCCAGTGCTCTGTTTCTGCTCTTCGTTCAACTCCGATAAAACTCATCATGACGTGGTCCCTCGCCGAATCCTACCTCGGTAGTATCCCGTCTGATAACATAACGCTGTCTTTAGCGCGTTGGGGTGATCCGAAGTGGGGGTAAGCTTGTCTTCGAGACGTGTGTTGAAAAGGATATCGGCAACGCGGCGTGGGACGTGCCATGGAGAAAGTTTCAACTCTGTGAACCTCTAAGCCATCCCACGGGAACAGATACGGCGGCGTGTGCACGAACGGGTATTTAGTCTTTCTGCGACTGCCTATTTTTCCTGATACCATCCACTGTTGGCATCGCAACGAAAGGTATTGTACCGCATATTTGGAGCTCTATTGCTGCATTGCCACACCACAGGAGGAGAGGAGACGAGGCAAATGAGCCCCCACCCACCCCCCCCCCCAAACACTCTGGCTCGCAGCAGCAGCATCGTGCGCGCAACGCAGCTTTCAAAGGTTATGTTCATACATTGACGGGTTGAACGGTACATACTGCTGTAGCGATACCAAATTCCGTGTGTCATGTGCATGGTTTACAGGGGATGGGCGAGATTGGGTTGGGTATGTGGTCTGACAACAGCTATAGAGGCTGGACAACGATGCTTGCGTGTGTGATTCTTGAGCGGTCATTCACCACACAACAACAATAAGGGTGCTCGGCCTACGTTCTCGGTTCGTTAAGGGTGCAGGTTGAATCTACAAATCACGCCGCACCGTGCGTTACTGCACCGGCGGTACTGCTTTATGTCGAGCGAGCTAACAGCTACCTTTACAGCCTCTGCCTTTGCGACCTCTCCCCTCTGTATCCTGGAGGCGCACTCGCCCTTCGAACTCGAAAGGGATGCCGCCGCCCTTACCACGCACAGAAACTTCGGCGTTCTTGCGAAATTTCTGAAATGTAAGAAAAAGAGCGAATAACGCCTGCTGATTGGATGGTGCAGACAGTTCCATCCCTGGGTGCAAGTGCAAAGCTGCCTCCCCACTTGAGCCGTCTCTTGCCCATAATCCCCATTAAATGTCCCCTCGATCGGGGGACATTTAGTAGGGATTATAGACAGCAATTGGCGGGAGCGTGGTAAACGGAGCACGAAAAGGAGGTTTGCAAGATTTCTCGAGGGGGAAAGCGAGACCTTCTAACCCAAGCCCTGGGTTGCCCGGTGCCTCCTATCAACGGTGGGCTAGGAACTGATCCCGCGCTTGCCCCTAGTAGCGCTTTCCACCCAAGGGTAGACAGACGCGACGCAACTTCGCTGTTGAACCCGCGGCGTAGTCGCCCCGCGATTCGACCTGTTCACTACCCTCATACTCCTCCACTCTACAAAGCGTCCACATTAGACTAGAGTCATCCCCGTGTACCCCGGCACCCCGCTGGGCGAGTAGTTCAAAGGAGGAGGCAATCATAATCATGCCATTCTTCGCGAGGTGAAGCAGGTGAAGAAGACGGGGACAAAAAGTGTTCCCAAACGGCAATCCAGCCCTAAAGGGATTCCGTCTTGCATGACGAATAACGAGGACGAGCTCAACATCCCGGTACGCTCCAAAAGAACATAGCGGGACAACATACCCGCGGTGCCCACACGGCCGACAATGATACACACGCTGGGCAATGTAGCGCACGATTGCGTCGTCCCCCCCGGCGTACGGGTGCTAGCACTGCTGTTGATCGGTTTCACGCCTGATGGCTGTGCGCCGAGACTCGCAACAGGGGAGATCGTTGTTGAAAAGTTCAATCAGGGAGAGAGAGAATGTTGAGACCGAGAGTGGTGTTTCTGAAGCCTGATGGCAACCACGTGGTACCTACAGCGAAACAGCTCACCTCATCCCATCCCATGATGCGTGTGAAACCGCAGTGGTCCAGGGAAGCCGGCGGGGTCGTGTGTTGTCTGTTAGCTGGCAACGACGACTTGCGTCTGCTCCGTCCGCTGTAGACAACAGGCAGTGCTGCGCACCGGCGAAAAAATAGGCGGGGCCCAGCAGATTCGTGGGGGTCCGTGGATTCGCGCGCCTTCGGAAAATGCGGCGCGATTTGCCGCCGATTACCCCACACAGCACAGGCGCTCAGAGCAAGCAGGAGGGCACAAGGGAGGGAGACCTCCGAGAAGGTGGGCTTCGAAACACACTAGGATTGCTGAATGCCTTTTGTTTTGTCCTTGTCGGCGCCGTGGGAGGCGATATTCGGAGAATGCCTGACCGCACCACCACGCGCAGCCACCGGCAGCGACGCACCGACGTCCTGATGCTCGCCTCCCCGTAAGCACCGGGACAGTGTTCCCGAATAAAACTATTGAGTTGTTGTGGTTAACTCAGCTTGCTTTATGGTACAAAAGGTTTCAGGAAATTTCACGAGCAGGAAGCTAAGCTTGACCGTGTCGAACCTAGAGAATGATCGCCGCGGCCGGGGAACATGCGCATCATGTGCACGCTCACAGAGGTGCTGTGTGTGGCCGCAACTTAGTAACGCTTCATGGTGTGGCCTGTTGCTGTGAGACGGGAGGGTTGACGTACAACCTGAAAAGGTTAGAGGCTTTAGCTTGTCTCGGATGCAGAATCAGCCGTGTGGAAAGTCCAGATTTAGTGACCAGCGGAAGAATCCGGAGGTACGCAGTTCGTGCTGTAGCGCCGCTGCGAGCACCGTCTGACAGGTATCTACTTGTTGTGTCTGCACGTCATGACTGCTTTAGCTAGAGGGAGGTGCGCTGCCAACCCCTCGATGATTCTAGCGTGTGCGGGGGGGATGTCAAGAGAGATCGGCATGAGTATGTATGTCTCAACCGTGGACAAAAATGGACGCACGCCGTGCGCTGTTTGAGCCGCTTCTCCTTCGCAGACGTTCGACCTCATTTGCTCGTGCTGTCGTTGTTGGAATTTTCCGCGCTCATCGTTCCGCATTCCTCCAGGCTTCGCACGTGAAGTCTCGATCTGTGGCGGGCGGGATCGGCCTCGTACATGGTGTCTCCATTGAGAGAAGCGTGCGAGCGCGCCAGCCTGGCGGCATTGACTAGGCAGCCAGTCCGTACCCCGCTGTCTCCGCGCGCGACCGCCGCCGACAATGGAGCCACGACACCAGCGACTCCCCCGAGGAGTAAAGGGGACTCGGGGTCCCCCAGTCGTAACCGGCTCAGCAGTACGCCGGAGTGTGCGAGATGGCCTTCGACTACGCCCAGGAGGACGAGAGGGAAGCGCTCGGCCGTAAACTCAGGTGCTGGTGTCAGGGGTTCGGGAGGAGGGTCGGGGAGGAAGCGCGTACGACCCAGACCCAGAGCTCCAGGGGGGATTGGTCTACAAGCGTAAGTGGAGGATAGATTAGCGGAGGCAGAGTTCGACGCGCAGCAGACGCAGGCGAAGATGGAGGCCCTCCTTCGCAAAGAGCAAGCAAATGCTGAAGCCGACGCCGAGGAGGCGCGAAAGGCGGCCAGGGCGGAGCCAGCCTTTGGTCCTGGACGCCAGACTCGAGGTGGGCAGAGGAGAAGAAGTGCAGTCGGGGGTGTAGGGAAGGAAAGCCGCAAGAAGATTTGCGGCAAGCCGGAGTGTGGATGGGTGCCGACTGCCGCGGGTCACCAGTGCACTAGGTGTCCCGCGGGGGTTGTCCACTGGGCAAGAGATAGGCTGTGTACCGCATGCCATCAACGGGAAGACGGGAGTGGGTTCACGCACCTGTTGAACACCCGCATTGCCTCGGCCCGCCAACTTGTGGGCAACCTGCCGTCTGATGAGGCGGGGGTTGTACGTATGCTGCGAACGTACAACCCTCAGTCTGGCCACTGTGTCTGCCGGCGAGACGGCTGCCTCATTTCCCGCCTGGGTCGCTACGAAAAGGGGAGGGCTACGCCAACATGTCAGGGTCCTGGGGACGGAAAGCCGTGTCAGGTCAAAGGAAAGTTTTGGGCGAAGCGGAAAAAGTATGCGGTGGCCGAGGATGGAGAAGGTGGGGAGGCGGGGGCGTCAACGGGAGGCGGAGGTGTGCGGTGTCAGGCCTGCTATGTACAGCGGCGCCGCTCTTTCGATGTGTCTCGACTGACACGAGCGGCAGGGGATGACCGATCCGGTGTTGCACAAGCTTCCACCTTGTCGGTGGCGCCTGCCAGCGGGGGGGCGGACGTTGTGACTACCAGTGGCCAGAGGCAAGGGACAGTCGGGGGAGCGTCCACCGACGAGGGCTCTGGCGTTGCGGCTGCCCAGGCGCGTGTGCGAAAAGTCAAAGCGGCGTCGATTGTGTGCTCTCGTGTGGAAGGATCCGTTAGAGGCGGAGAGATCCTTTACTGGAAGGATGTCGCGGAGTGGCTGATGGCCGAGCGAGCTAAACTCGGCGAGGATGAACTGTAGGACAAATGTATACGAGAGAAGTGAAGCAGATGTTCGACAGCGTCGGCCGTCCGCCAGGCTGCAACGCGAGAGTGGTTAGTATCCGATGGTGCAGTGTTGTCAGAGGAGATGGCCGCGAGAAGGCACTCTGCTTGTTCCCCAAGGATCTTCGGGACGAGGTTGTCGTTGGATACCTCCCGCGGATGCGTGCGGCGGAGGCGGCGACTCTGAAGTCTGAGCTGGAACGGGTTGCCAAAGACCCTGCGCGTCCCCTCGACCCTGTCTGTCAGGAGCAGAGGATGGCGGTTGTCAAGACTGCGGGCGAGATTGTCCGGCGCGATATTGAACTGGAGAAGAGCCTGAGGAACGCGCCCGGCCCGGGGACGGCGAACATCTACATGGAGCAGTTGGAGCGGCAGGTGAGGCATGCCACGGTAGGGGTGCACAAAAAGGTGTCTGGCTGTCAAAGTGTTTGGAACCCTGTATGTATCTACAATCCAACGGAGGGGGAATGTGAAAACACTGCTCGGTAGTATTTCGAACAACGAGTAAATTAAAGATCGAAAACAGAAATCTGACTTGGCCTTGTCGAAATGTTTGGGTGACTCTTAGTTGCCTCTTACTTTTGAGAGGGTCTTTTTGGGTGCCTCTTTGGTGCCCATTAACTTTAAGAGGGTTTGGGTCCGATATATTTCAGCTCACATTGTGCTATCGTGGCATGGCTCAGGTGGAGCCCACGGCGGAAACCTCTCCGATGCCCCCTACGGTGGTGGGGTTGTTCCAGAGCGTGATCGACGAGGACTTGACAGGCGAGCTAAACCCTGCGGAGCAGCCCAAGGTGAAGTCGACCGACGACGCAGCGCCAGCGCCGTGCAAGGTGTGGGAGCGAGGGTGGCGAGATGGGTTCAAGAAGAGCGTCGGTGACGCCACCGACGACTCCGCAGGCGGGTCGGTATGCGACACGACGGTAGGCTCTAGTGGTGGAGCCGGGAGGAGTGGGGTGGGTGCAACATCGGGAGGGGGGTCGGTGCGCCCGGCGTCGGAGACACATGCGAAGTATGTTGAGAAATTCAATCGTGGCTGCCGATCATGGTGAGTCTGTGTTGGCGGTGATGTGCACGAGCATGGTGAGTCTGTGTTGGGTGGGCGGTACATGCCCTCCCATGCCATCAAGGCGACCCAGTGGGCGAAGTCGAAAAAAAAACCTCGAGTCGTACTCGACTTTTTGGCAGAGCACTTGGGGTGGGCCACCGATTCTCAAGTGTACCACCGAGAATCCAAGTTCGCCCGGGCGGTAGAAGCCTCGAAGCTCCTTCCCAAGTGCGCGAAGTGCGCTGCCTTTGCGCAGGACAACTGTGATTCTGAGCCCGGAGTCGGAGTGAGGCAGGGAGAAGGTCCGCATATCCCGTGTGTGGTGTGTGTGGCGTTATGGGCGGGGGCGGAGGTGGGCATGCTCGAGGACGCAAGCATGTTGAAGCGAATCCGCGATTTGAGTTTGGACGACATCCTCCTCGAATCTGACCCGGCGGAGGGAGAGCGGCGGTATGGAGCTTTCTTCGCTACGCTCCTCGGCGCCGTGTCGAAGTCCGAGCGGATGAGGTCGACGGAGGGCGGTCCGTTGTGGTGCTTCGAGGCCCAACTCAGGGAGGTGAGATTTTTTTACGTCATATCTACATGTTTTCTGTCTTTACTTAGTCCTTTCGCAAGGCCGTTTTACCAATTCAGGGTTGGTTGCTTCCGTCATATCGAATTTGTATACCACATCGTTTCCCATTAAGTGTTGGCTGCCAAAAGAAAAAAACGAATCCAGAAACAAACGAGGTGCATCTGGGGGTGGGGCAACAGCGTGTAGCCACAAGAACCACGAGGATACTCCAGCAGCAGGCAGGAAGTATACTGGTGACGCTAGAATAGCACGCCTCGGAAGTTCTATGTGTGTGTGTCTGTGTGTGAATGTATGTTTTTTTTTATCCTCCTAATATTGGACTCTGTCGTCTAGCCCCACTGGCCCCTATCCTCCACTTAGACTAGCTACACGACCAACCGGGGTCACGTAGGAGGGGGAGGCTGGACCCCCTCCTGCGGTATGTGTGGTCTGTGTTTTTTTTTTTCTCTTTAATTTGTTGTATTTATATCTCTCTACCCGCCTTGTGTTGCTCGTACTGTACCTGTAGGATATTTCGCTGGAGGTGAGGTCAAACACTACAGGGCGGTATGCTTTCATCCAACGCGCCAGCACCAAGAGCTACACCGAGATGAAGGGGATAATTGACCGTATCCTTGGCATATGGCGCGGCACCGACGCAGGCAACGATGGAGCACCGTGTATTATCGCCGGGGATGAGGAGACATACCGCTTCATATACCACCTCATGAAGCAGGGCCCCGATAACTACCGACAAATCCGACGGTATCCGGGAGACTGGCATCTTCTGCTGCACATGGCCAAGGCTCTTCTCAAGCGGTACTGGGGGGCTGGTATCGAAATCGTGGCGTGTGAGTTGGGAACAGACAACAGCAAATCGGGCGATGCCAGCAACTACCGCCGAGCCCACCACCATTTGTGCGTGATGTTCGAGGCCCTTTGGACGGTCCACTGCGAAAGACGAACTTGGAGATTAGCTCGAATGATCAGGAAACGGTCGGGGCGGTGTTGATTCTGAGACGAGGATAGGGACTACTGTCTTTTGAAGGACACGGGGGGGGGGAGGGGCGCACCGATCCTGAGTGCCTGCTTCGATCGCTTTTTTTGTGGGCCGTCTCGTGGGTGCGAGCCTGCCGTATCTCAGGTGGTTTGACTTTATGTGCGCCCTAACGCCACACTCTAGCTGTCGCCTTGTCCGATGGTGATCCGTGAGTGTTTTGGTGTGTAGTCGTACGGGAATAATTGTTGTTTTTTTCATTTACAAATCGGCGAAGGAGTTAGTCCAAATAGTTTTGACCATTTACGAGATGTTCATCTGTGACTTATTCTGCTTCATTTTTTTTTCTTTATCATTTGTTGATATCTCATTGGTTCATGGCTTACGATTTTACTGTGTAAACCTGTGATTGATTTGTGGATCGTGTTTTCTGGGGGCCAATATATTATTCAGGAATAGTAGAGAGATGGATGTGCAAGTCTAGACTTGTAAATAAAATAAACAAAAATAATTTTGTTGATTGTAATACAGGACTGCATTCATGTATCCATATCAAACCGTGCCTGCGGGTGCTGTTGGGCCCTCGTGAGGCTCCCGATTCCCACTGCGGCGGCTCACTGCTACGGCAGCAACCTAACCAGTCTAGCGACACATGAAGTACATCTGTAGGCGTTTTTTTTTTCTTTTTGGCGCGGAAGATGAAGAGACCCGGTGTGCGTCGGCGGAACGTAAAATTTAAGTTCAAACCTGGTGCGCGCCGGTTGCGCGTTCTCAGCCTATTCTGGGTGTTAACCCAAAATTCGAGGTGCGTAGCAACCCTCAGAATGTCCTCTTGTTCAAACCGGCGCACTCTGCCTGAATCGTTTGCAGGAAGCTAAGCATGGTGCCTTCGCGCGGACGTCATTTGTATCAAGAAAGCGCCGCGTTCGGGCGCCACAGCAGTGCGTATTGGTGCGCGTCTTCTTGCAAACTACCCCCTAGTTGTATGTTGAGCCCATATGCCAACTTTCGTACGGATCTGTGCTGTGTGCTATGCGGTCTCGTACTCGGGTGAAATGCAGCCTCTGCACCCGCGAGAGGTTGCGCCGCACAAAACTGCAGCCTATTTGCCGCCGGACTTCGATTTTTTCTTTCGTCACATTTGAGGGCCACAGGCCGCCCAAGTCGACAAACCAGGGCTCATTCGACAGCCAACACAGCACACTACAGCTGAGGTGTTTTAGATTGGTATATTGTGTCTTCTTCGGCCTTCACAGCAGCCAGAACGGTGTTCGGAAGGTGCGCCCCCTTAAACCGGTGCGCAGCACTGACAAGAAACGAAAGGCGAAGAGGCTCCGTGCAATCAGTTAGTTCTCCGTGATGGTCGTGTCATACCGTATGCATACATGACATCATGACATGAGACAAGAAACCGCACACCCCTGGACCGATAAATAAAAGTACACTCCACCTGCAGTGTAGTACACTGCACCAATGAATAGCGATGGCGCCGAAAATGGCAACAATGCACTCATTTCATCGAGCCCTCAAAGAAAAATGCATCATTTGAGTTTGGTATCATGTTGTAAGACTAGTCGTGAACTAATCGAGCTTTGAAAATCGGACAGTCCGAGGGGTGTAGTATTTTGCGTCACGCCTTCACCAACCGTACGCTCGCTGGAGCCCGCAATGAGTAGTTCCTGTCGTGGAGGGGTCAGGATTTATATTTTTTTCTACGCAACCAAGGATTGGATTGTTTCTTGCGCTCCTTTTTCTCCTGTGTTGTGCACAAAACCGACACAGAGATTCGTCATGGTGCTTTCCGTCTCTTGAGACGGTTACATTATTATATGTTTTTCTCCCATCATTGGACTCAGTCTGCCCTTCTGGCCCCTATCCTCCACATCCACCAGCTAGACGACCCAACGGGGGCCACACAGGAGGGGGGGTCGGACCCCCTCCTGCGGTTCCTGCCTGATATATTTTTATCGCGACAAGGGGACAGTAATCCCTTCCCTCGCGACTTATGAAGTCGATCAAGTTTACTGACATGGAGCTTTGCAGCGCGTCGCTTCCAACGGAGACCAGGATTTAATTAGCGAGAAAAAACTCACTTTGTCGGGACTCGAACCCATGACCTGGCCCGCCCTTGGCAGGCTACGAGGCTACCCACTAGACCACCGGGGCGACCGGTGTGTGTGTCATCTCTTGTTTCACCAAGTGTCTTTTTTGTGGCCGCCCACAGACGGACGACGGTGGCTATTCGATGCCGTCCATCTCTTACTTTTCTTGCCTGCACTTCTTCACCGGCCTCGTGGTTGGTCATGTCACGACATTCTCAAGAGGAAAGCCATCACGAGTATGTACTGCTAGGCGATGAACACTACTTGCAAATACCAAGATGCATTGTCCAGGGGCACGGAATAGAAGCCCCGTTTCGAAGGCTCTGACCCGTTTTCGAAGACTCTGGTCGGTTGGAAGAACTGGCGTTGGAAGCCAACAATTCCACGCAAGGGATCTCACCCCGTCGAAGACCCGCACACTGATGGCAAAACTCAACGTACCCACTCGAGACTCGAGACAGTCAGGGGCACCGTGCCTCAGAGAGCATGCCAACACTATGCGAGGCCTTGTTCCAAGGCGTTGTGGTACACTTCGTATTACTTTTATGGTATACGTGCATTGATTGCTTTGCTAGAGCCCGCCCTTCCGCCCTCTACCAATTGGTTCTCAGGATGTTATCGCCAAGACTGAGGCCAAAGCCATTCGCCCGCCTTCTGAAAAAAGTTCAAAACTCACAAGCATCTTGCTTCAGATTGGGAACAATGACTGAATTAATGCTGCGGTAGCGGCCCTAAACCTGCCTGTACAAAAGAACACCGCAGCGGATGGACAAGAAAATCAATCTCATCTCAACGCGTGATTTATCGACACATCATAGGAGGAGAACTTAGGTGAGTCAGTGGGAAGCTTCAAAGACAAAAAGAAACACAAAACAACTATGCATGCATATTATGATGTATCGTTTGCAACGCTAGTGGTACCTGGTTTAATCGAAGTACGGTTTCATCCAAACCACACGCCTCAGAAAAACGAGCGACCAACAGCAGTCAGAAATGGAGAGACTATTGATTTACCCTGCTTGCTCTTTGTGGAGTTTTCACCAACGAAGAACATAGGGCAGGCGCAAAAGCAAGCAGCCGCTCTCGTCTCTACCCAATGTAGCTACCTTTACAGAGCAGTTCTCGTACCCGGTGCCTGGGACAGACTGTGGGGCACTTTTCAAGTCTACAGTATTCCAGCAGATAGCAGATGATGTTCAGCTTACAAGCAGTGTCAAAACGATCCATGCACTCACAAAAAAAATTACCGTACCATATAAACAAGGACTCCTCCCATTGCCCCGTGCTCGCACAGCAGCTGAACCGCCGCCGCACCCTATACACAAAAGCAAAACCACACTTAAGGCGAAGAAACAAAATGTAGCCTTGGCCCCATACCCTAAAAAAACAATTTTTCACACGAGATAATCAAAGTGTAACCCCGCGGGGGGGGGGGGGGGGGGG